AACCATTTGTATTTATTTTAATCTAAACAAAACTTATGATTTAATATTATATAAGTAAAAAATGAGTATACAACAAACATAGTTAAACAAAACTTATGATTTAATATTATATAAGTAAAAAATGAGTATACAACAAACATAGTCAACGGGCAACGCGCGTCATACAAAAAACTAGTATATAATAAAGGTAAGAATTATTAGTATTGTATATTTTATCTTTAAATAATTTACTCATTTATAATTTTACAATTCATTATTTTGAGTAAAAATTAATATTTTATCCATTTAATATTTTTTTTGAGAAATTATCCATGTAATATCTCAATTAAAGTTCTTAATGTGAATATATATAAAATAAAAGTCTTTTATGGTGAATCTATTAGATATATAATAATTCTCAAATGAAAATAGACAATTTATATAAACCAATTTTTATTAATTTTTTATCTTTGAAATTTTAATTTGTAATTTGAAATTCAATTTAGACAAAAAAATCATAAAAATAATAAAAAATTTTTATATTCAGATATATATATATTTCTTGAATTTAAATAACGTAATCAATATTATATAAGTTTCGATTCAGGGTAATGGACAAAGAATATCAAACATTAGTTTTTTAAAAATATTAATTCAGTAGAGGCTTATATATAGTTTATAATGGATCATGCTTTAATTTGCTTACAAAAATTTATTATCGAATATTTTAAATAATTAATATTTATGGATAGTTATTTATTATAAATACAGTACTAAGCGGTGGAAAGTATTATGTATAATTACGTGAACTACTAAAATTTTAAATAATTTTCACATTTTGAGAGGTTGAGCAGAAATATATTGGTATTTTTATTTGATTAGATCAGTATATATAAAAAACAAATGTATGAGCAAAAAAGATAATTAAAGAAGAAATTTATGTTCCATAATACAATTATTTTTATTATTGTATGTCATAGTAACATCAATTTTATATACTTATAAACTAATATTCAATTAAGTTTACTAATTATTGCATTCAATAAAAATGCAATGGAAACTCATATTAAGTATTATTTTATATAAATTTAAAAAATTTAAATCAATAACTATTTAAATTATAGAAAAATGTAATAAAGAATAATAAAAGGGTTACGTGAGGAAGATAATATTGGAACATGATATAATTAAATATTATTATAAAATGATTAATGGATACAATACTATTATCGCAGGAATTTAATCAGAGAATATATAAGGCTTAAAAAAAATTAACAGAATTTTATGTTAAAAATTAATAGAGATTTAATTAATTATGTAAAAATTATAGAATTTAATTAATTATGTATGTATTTTAATATTTATAGTTATAGATATTTTACATTATTTTATTGCTCTTACTCTTATAACTTAAATAAATTTAGATAATTTTAATACTATAACATTAAGTACACAACACCTATCACGAAAGCCTTACAAATTAATTTAGGAGTCCGCATCTCTTTTTACCAATAAACGATTACCGCCAACTATGCCAAATTACTGTTACTGTAATAACTTTTCACGCTATAATTAATCATATGAGTATTCTAAGGGCAGAAATGTGAAAACACTATACTTTCAGATTGCTGTATTTTTATTTCTGCCAATAAGATTGTTGGCTCAAGGGTCAATTTTATCTTGAGATTTTGATGATTATACAAAACAAATAAATTTAATATTCTTGTATGTGCTAATATTATTTTATTTATGCAGAAATTAATTGTGTTGAAAATTATTGAAGATAATGAAGTTCCGCTTAACATCCAAGATTTTATTTGAAGAGATGAAAGATTAATGAAGATATTTTCTTTATGTTAGTATTAATATATAAGTTCCTTAGGAAATTAAATTGTAGGATAGAGAGTTAAATGATATTTATAAGCACAAATCTATTTTATGCTGTCTCGTCAAAATTTGTTTGAATAGTTTTTGAATAATTTATAGCCAAAAATCTTTACTAAATCTTCAAACGGTTTTTCCTATCTAAAATATCTTTGGAGTAAATATTCTTGGTAGCTATTAAATGATACAGCTATCTGTTTCTGATATAAATGTTACACTGTTTTCTAAACTGAACCTTTCATCTTCAAACCTTGCATGTGTGAATATTAAATGTGGTTAAACAGCCCTTTTAATTGCAACCCATGCATTGCCTTGTTAGTTTAAAAACATCAGAAACTTTATTGCTCATTAAAGCAAAAATAATCTCAACATTAACTTCAAAAGAGAATATCATCTTTTCATATAAAAACCATTTCCTCTCTTAAAAAGAAGGGGTTTTGCAAAAGAGTATGAGTTCATTGTTCATAGTTTAAATCTCTCAAAGCTCTTTCTTCAATCCCCCTATTTCTTTTCGTCACTTTGCTTCAAGAAAAATTTTTAAGAGAAAAGAAAAAAAATTTTTAAGAGAAAAGAAAAGAGAAAAGAAAATTTAATAACAACATTTTCTGAAAAACAGTTCTGAACTTTAATTCTGCTTTCTAAATCTGTTTTCTGTTCTTCCTGTGCTAATAATTGCATTTCTCTCTATCTATATAGTTTTTGTAATCTGTTGTAAACTAGAGGTTTTTAAATGAAAACTTTTATGTAATAGCTTAGGTGAAAAGCTATGATGTAATAGGTTATCAAGCAACATTCTTCTTGTGTGAGTTTCTGTTCTCTGCAAAAATAGAAAGGGTTGAGGTTGACTACAACCTTTGGAAAAATCTAGTGGGACAAAGGTTAGATCTAGGTGTTGATCTATTTCCTTGTAATATTGGTTTGTCTCTTACCCTTGAAAAGAGATAACATAGTAGAGGATCTCAAGATGAGTTTTTGGGAGTAGATGTAAGCGAGTTAATACCGAACCACTATAAATCTCTATATTTATCTTCTTTTATTTTTTAAAGTCCTGCTTAATTATATTCTGTTTACACAACTGTTAATCTTTTTAGAAATGCAAAGTTGTTAATGAATTTCTGTTTATAAACGTAAATAAGTTTTATCCCTGTAGAACGTTAGAACTCTGGATTTCTGTATTGTGTGGAACATTAGAACTTTGGATTTCTGTATTTGTGATTATACAAGTTCTAAATCTGTCCTTCTATATTTAGTATAATTCACAATAATGAATTATAATCAGTTTTCTAATCTTGGCTTTAAGCTTTTGTGAAGCTGTTCTAATCGGCAATAAGCCTGTTTCTTCACAGAAGATATATCTAACATCTGTTTAAGCTTTGTTGAAGCCTGTTATACCATTCGCAATAGCTGTTCTTCAAAAGAGTCTTTCTAAACTTTGTTTTTATGCTTTGAGCAGTTCTAAATCCATAATTGTTCCTTCACAGAGTCTTTCTAATCTTGTTCCATAAACCTTTTGGTGGAGGAGTTCTAAACTTGATAACTAACTCTCCACAAAATGCTTTCTAATTCCCCGCTGCAATAGAACCGCTGCAATAGAATTCTGATTTTTGTTTTTAAAAGTTAAATTTTTAGAAAACCCAATTCACCCCTCTTGGGTTGTGCCATACATAAATGGGACCCACAAAGATGTCGTACAGTTCAATAATTTTCTGATACGCACAAGCTTATCTGGTTGTTAGTCTTCTTTTTCAATAATTCAATCAACAAACGAACCAATGAATGACCAGTCCTAATCAGCATTTAATGGTAAATTGTGTAATCATTAATCTTTTTTTATCTTATATTACTCCAGTCCATAATATTGATCGCATTTAAAAATAATTTAGTTCAAAATATTTATTATATTTATGGTTTAAAAAATAATAAATATTGTTTTTATATATAATCAATAATTATTATATTAATTTAATGATTTTTTTAGATAATTAATATTAAATTAAGTAATAAGAGTAATATATCAATTTATTTCAATAATTTATTAATAACTTAATAAATTTAATAATTTTTAAGGAAACTTAAATAAATTTAATAATTTTTTAAGGAAAAAAATGCTAAACTCCCATTTTTATTAAGCAATGTAATTATATACTAAATTTTATAAAATAAGCTAAGTAATTATAATTTTAAAAATGAAAATAAAAAGTTTTTGGTTAGAACTAGACCGGAATCGACATGCCGGTTCCGGCCAATTCAAGTTTAGAATTTAGCATTCACATGGATTTTAATTGATCCTTAAACCACCGGTTCCGGTTCAAAATTTTGAACCAATGATTTCGATCCGCTTTCAATTTGTCTACAATACAATTCAGTTCCAGTTGGATTTTGATTAAAACAGAACCAGCTATGTTTAAGTTTTTTTTGTTACCAAATATTATAAAAAATGAGGTTTTAAAAAACTATAGTTGGACGGAGCCATAGATCAAAAGTCAAAAAAAAGATAAAAAGGTAGTTATTATAAAATATTCATTTTCCAACTCAGTAATATGTAATTTTTAATTTCTTCTCCATCGCATGCATCCACGTCAACTTGATGTGTCTCTACATACAACTTTGAAATATTTTAATTAAAAAAAAGAAAAAGAATAAAAGAAATTCAGAATTTCATCCATTACAATTATATTATATTTTAATTATATAAATTCATTTTTATTATATAAATAAGTATAGATTTGGGTGAACGTTGCTCAATATTACTAGATCATGCAAGATAGCACATCAATAAGTATGTATTTATTAATATTCTCCAACATAACAGAAGGGAAAATGAAAATTTCACATAGATCCTAAACACCAAAACTAAAACAGACATTGAGAAAAAGCCATTGACAGGCTTTTCACACATCAGATTCTTAAAAAACCCCCGAGAAGAGCCATTGCAGGCTTTCACATCAGATCTTAAAAAACCACCCATTTATTATTTGACGATAAAAACTAAACTCAGAAGAAACACAAAGAAGAGCCATCGAGTGAATTAACATACAAAGAGCGAGCTAGAGGCTTAGTTGTGATAACGTATGGCATAAACTGTCTGTAAGAAAGTGAGAATTAAAATTGCAGTGGCAGCGAAAAAAGCAATAGTTGAGCAAGAAGTATTGAAAATATCTCTTAATAACATTGCTCGCCATTGAGGCCACCGAGATTTATAATATGCATTGACTTCGTCAGAAATTTTTCTGTAAGGATAATTTTCAATATGAGCATAATCGTATAGTCTGTTGAAGAAACTAGATACCTCCTCTGCACTCAAGTAGAAATTTACTATTCATTTTTCTCTGAGATACTCAACATCTTCGCTTGACTTGATAAGATTGTCAAGAAATGCAAAATAACCTGTGATCTTAGCTCTTAGACTCTTGTCACATTGCTCATATACAACAAGGTTGCGAATTAAAGATTCTGCATTTTCTAGAACTAGTAATGGTGGAACAGTCAATATCCCATTTCTGAATGTGATCTTCACTAGTGCCTCCGTTTCTCCGACGGCGAAGTCAATACCAGCTTTCAAAAGGTCAGTCACACAAGGGATTGCCAAGAAACCTCGATTAGCATCTTCACTTCTAGAAAGAATCAGATTTCGCTGGAGATCAAGTAAATGCTTATATTCCATTGTTGCGTTTACTTCAATACCTGTCGTTCTCAAATCGCTGGAGATCAAGTAAATGCTTATATTCCATTGTTGCGTTTACTTCAATACCTGTCGTTCTCAAAGCATTTTAAAGGGTCGAGAAACTTTCGGGGTCATTTTAGTTTTAATAATGATTGAACAAACCAAATGTTTACCCCTTACTTACAATTCCGGCCCATTCTTTTTCAGTAACATAATCATGCTGTCCCTTCAAAAGAAAAATAACATAATCATTGAAGCTTTAATTATGGTGCGTTGTGATAATCACAGCGCTGAGATTTCGAATCCGTGAAATATATAATTTAATACCGTTATATTAACATTAAATAATCTACGTAATCCATTAAAATTAATTAATTCATATTAATTATTTTTAAAATTAATCTAAATATCTTTTTGATGTAAGGATCAAAGAGCAAAAATTTGAATTGGCTATTATATGATTGATATAGGTGGCGACAATAATGATTTATACATGATTTATTTTATTTATGATTAATGGTAAGGTATTAATATATTTTGTTGATTATTACAATTAATATATAATTTAGCTTTCTGCCTTAACAAGATGTCAGACATGTCCAATAATTTTTTCCTGAATATGCACAGGAATAACTTTAATTAATGGTAAATTCATATGGCTTAAATCATTTGTGATTACTTTTAAGTTAATTCTTTCGATTTATTATTATTATTAATTATTTAGGGTTATTTATTTGGTATTAATTTTTTGTTGTAATCATGAAATCAATTTTATCTTATATTTTATTAAGTTGGATTTTTCTTTTTTCTTAGTTCCATCAATAGCAGATAATATTCATGTAATTACGGAATAAAAGTAATTGTTATAATTTGAATTTTTTTTTATTAACCTAAATTCGTCAAAGATTAAAATATTTACTACTGAAGATTAATATTAGGTCATGCATGCATATTTGATTAATGTAATCTTTTAACCATTAAATAAATAATAATAGAAAGAAGAAGTTAAATGAGTGATTGCTTTTACTTCTAATGCCATTTAGAGCTTTAACTCACGTTATCGGTTATTTCTAAAACTTTATGGAATTGTAGATATAAAACAAACGCGAAGATGCAATTACCTTTAATATCATAACACATATAGAACAATTTATATGTTCAAAACCAATCATAAGATCCTTTATATATCCGACAAGCTACACACAATACTACTTTAATTAACCTATAAATCTTAGACAGGAATTAACTATAATTTTGTCTTAATTATTTGGTCCTAAGTCCGCTTTTGCCATATCAGTGTGGTTATTAATAATTTCTCCAATCACATCTTTACCTTATCTAAGAATTATTATTTTCAATTTTAGCAAGCGATTAAAGTCGCCAACCCTTGTTTGCTCTTATCCCAATTTTTATTTACACCTCCAAATTGCTCATATTGCTTTTCAAATTTATTCTAACAAAAAATATTAACTATGTTTATTTGTACAGGCCTTGATCTTTCATTCTCATTCTATTAGAGAAAGGGCACCTCATGAAACTCTGCTATTCTCTTCACATATGAACAACGCTATATTCTGTAAATCTTCAATATTTTTACCATTATTTTCTGCAGTGATTTTCCCAAGCTTGCTTTCAAGATCTAAAATATTGTCACCAAAAGGACCCATAACGGAGATTACCAGTACAAAACTCATCGAAATGCCTATATCGCAATGAAGAAAGTGCTTACTATGAAGTGCATAAAGGCGAGACAAGACACATCTTTAAGGAATCTCTACTCACAGAATAATATTATTTTAAACATGTAGAGCTACTATCAAATTGGCATAGTAAAGAGCAGATAAGGAACATGGAGTAGACCAACAATGGATTTTTGAGAGTCTCTTTGACGACCCTTACAATATAAAAACTCTTATTTAAGAGCACAACCATCATGTGGCATATTTGTGAGTAATGGGTTGTCGAAGAAACCAAATGCAGAATGTTGGCTTCTTCTGAAAAATATGTTGGCTTCTTCTGAAAATTGTAAAGCACAGTGCCTTAAGCCAAGTTGTGCCAGATTTTGGAAGAGTACAAATGATAATATCAGTAGGTTGAGGTACAAAATATTTTTGAGCTAGAATTATACCTTCAAGGATATTTGGGTGGCACCAAAAGTCTTGGTATTTGTGTAACTTTTGAGAAAGTTGCCAACTAGTTTCTTTGGGAAGGTCTATCTGTTGACATTCAATTAAGGCTTTTGAAAACTCTTCCAAATTTGAAACATTCCTAGCTTTCAAAGATGACGAAGGCTCCATGGAAGAAGTGTAATATTTAGATAGTTGATAGTGATATATTAATGGAGTGTATCAAATAATGCATATATAAAGCCTGTTGGTAGGTTAAGTGTGGGGTCCAAATTGGTTCATAACATGATGATTATTTAACAAAATCACTTTAAAAATTGAAATGTTTAATAATTTTTTATGGAAGAGGCCACCGACATTACTTTGAAAGGTTAAAAAAGATCAAATAATAGAATATAAATGGCTATATTGGTATTGAGTAGCTTATAAATCACTAGTAATAACAAGGTATTGAGTAGCTTATAAATCACTAGTAATAACAAGAAAGATGGAGTTCTATTTTCAGAAAGACATTTTAATATTTTATATATGTGGGTATAATTTCTGTATATTACATATATAGGTATAGATATCCATGATTTTTTATAAATTTTACCAATGTTTTGAGAAAGTGCAATTGTAAATTTATAGATTTGTCCTAATAAAATCATATCCCTTGCATGTGAACCATTATCTTTACCCATAAAATCTTATCCCTTGCATATATATTTAAAAAAAAAAATTTTATATTAAGATGCAGTTTGTTTCTCTAAAATAACTTAGAGGAAAAGAATTTAAAATATCTTTAAAGAGAAAAAGAATTAGTTACACTTGTAAAATTGTAGCTAACGTTCCACCACTAGTAATCAAGAGGAAAAGAATTTAAAATATCTTTAAAGAGAAAAAGAATTGTAGCTAACGTTCCACCACTAGTAATCAAGAGGAAAAGAATTTAAAATATCTTTAAAGAGAAAAAGAATTAGTTACACTTGTAAAATTGTAGCTAACGTTCCACCACCAGTGATCAATGGTTTTTGTATATCCATTGAAAAGCTGGTTACATCAGAACTGTCATTCTTAAGATTATAGTTTAACTAGTCAAATGAATATCCTTAATTTATATGGTGTCACATTGTTTATTCTTTTCATAGAGAACATGTTTCATGTTTCCAAAATGATGTAGATCTGTATGTGTCACTAGCACATGCCCTTTACCTCTTCAAATCTTATCTGAATAAGATCGATAAAATATGCTCCATTATGTATATTATAATAACAATAATAATAATTTTTCTGAATATAACCTAATCCGAATTGGTTCCGCCTAATAAACCTTAATAATTTTTTTGTGTTCAGTAATATATATATATATATTTTGAGTATTGAGGGAAAGAGATTTAAACCTCTCATTTTTCACCATAGAAGAAAATCTATAAATTGGTAGTTTTCATTTCCTGAGCGCTTTCCCTCTTGTTCTTCAACTTACTACTTTACTTAATTTAGATGGAAGATTGAAAGGATCTGTTTCTTTTGTAGGTTTCAATTTTGATTCATCAATGCAAATTTTGATTCACCAAGTTTGAGTTCTTCTCATCTTTTTTAGTACTCTTTTGTTTATTTGTAAATTTCTATCTTTAATTAGGAATCATAATTTAGTATGATGTGTTAGGAATGTGTAATTATTATGTGATTTGAGCCTAGTTTGAAAATACTAGACTCGATATTTTCAATTAAGGCTTTTGATTGATAAATTTTTTGCTTCTTTATTAGTTTTTAGCTTGAACTTTTTGGCAATACAAATTATGGCAACTAAGTTTCATAATTTGGGTGTTAGTATAATTTTTAATGGACATTACTATGTTGATCTCAGTTTTTTAAATACAGTAACATCTCTGAACTTGTTTCTGTTTTCTTTTGTTTTTTTTTTTAGTTTTGTTAAAAAGATGTTGCTCACAGGTTAACTCGAGCTACTCATTCTATGTAGGTCTTGGAGAGTGGATCTCTACCCCACCTTCTTTTATTATTGCTACTTTATTTTCTGATTCCCATTAATAATACTTAACACAGTCCAAAAAAAAAAAAAAAAAAAAAAAACCAAAAAAAAAAAAAAAAAAAAAAAAGAAAGAAAATATGGCATAAAAGAAAAGAAATATGCATATGCAAGTTCTTATTTCAACTTCAAGATTTAATCACACCATTTATTCTGAAACATAAAATTTGTAATGAACAAACAACTCACACCATTAATTCTAAACACAGAAGAATAATTTTAGAAACAATCCATGCTAATACACTGGAAGCTGTTAAACAGCTTAAAAAGTAATGCCGGAACCGTTGAATTTGTCTTTAGTTATCTGATCAAGTCGTTTTACCATCTCGGGAGTTAAATAATTCTTCCAATCACCTACCTTACCCTTTCTAAAGAACGCATTATTTTCAAATTTAGAAGGAAATGCAGTGCCAATCTTATCACTCTTATTCACCTCCAAATTGCTCAAGCTTTCAAAACTACACAAATTAACTATGTTTTGCACAATACCTTGTCTTTCTTCTTCTGCAGTGAAAGGGTAACCCATGAACTCTGCTATTCTCTTCACATAGAACAACGTATCATGCTGTAAATCTTCATATTTATTTTAAAAACAATATTTTCTCAGGATGTTCCAAGCTTGCTTTCCAATATCCTAAAATATTGTCCCAATATGGTCCATAAGCAGATAATCCAATACAAAACTTATCAAATGCCTCTTGCAATGGAATAGCATCAATATCCAATTGCCTACATACAAAGTGCCACTGCGAGATAAACACATCTTTAGGATCCCTACACATATAAATTACTTTACATGTAGAGCACTTGATAATTGATTTGGGCAAGGAAGCATAAGGAACATGAGTGGACAACAATGGAGTTCTAGAGTCTCTTTGACGACCCATACAATATAAAAACTCTAGAACAGGCACAATATCATGTGGCATTTTTTTGAGCAAAGGGTTTATTTTAGAACCATCAGAATATTGGCTTCTTGCAAAAATTGCAAAGCATAGTGCCTTAAGCCAGGTTGTGCCAGATTTTGGAAGGGTATTTGGAAGGGTACAGAGGATAATATCAGTAGGTTGAGGTGTAAAGCATTTTTTGAGCTAGCATTACACCTTCAAGGAAATTTGGGTACAGCATCAAGGAAATTTGGGTAGCACCAAAATTCTTGGTATTTGTGTAAATTTAAAGGAAGTTTCCAACTAATTTCTTTGGGAAGGTTTGAGATGATCTTCTGACATTCAATTACGGTTTCTGGAAGCTCTTCCAAATTTGAAAGATTCATAGTTTTCAAAAGGTGATGAAGGCTCCATATATGAAATGATGCATATTTAAAGCCAGTCAGTTTTTGTTGATAGATAAAGCGTGTGATCCAAATTGATCCATGACATGATGATACTTTTGTATGCTTGAAATAATTTTTAAGCTTTTTTTTTCGGAATGAATTTTTAAAGCCTTTTTTTTATTTATTGAAATGTGACCTTGAAGTTAAAGACAAAACACATACATGTGCCAAATTGATTCAGATTCAATACATAAATTCATTCCTAAATTTTATAACTTAATACTATGGTACTCTAAAATTTGTGAATGACTTACTATATACTTGAATTTATTAATTTTTAATAATATTATTTAGAAATTTTGGTACCATTGCATACTTTTTCACATTAACAGCAATAATTTTTAAAGTTTTTAGCTTTTATGTGAGTATTGATTTGGTATAACTTTTGAAATGATAAATTTCACAAATTTCAACTATTTAATCGGTGTTTAAGAAATTTAATTTTGTAAATTAAAGTGTTTAATAAAATGTGTAATTTTGTTGGATGACTAACGTATTTAATAAGTGTAATTTTATAAATTAAATTGTTTATTGGATCAAAATAATAATTAAGAGTACCACTAAATTAAAATAATAAAATTGAGTGAATTTTTTTTCAACAATTCTTGGTATTTTCCCCTTTTTTTTTTTTTTTTAAGGAGCCACCGACACGTAATAAGTTAAAAATGATCAAAATAATAGAAATCATTGGCTATGTAGGTTTTAGTGTTGATCCGGCAAGATATGACAAGGAAGGTCGAGTTTTATTTAGAGTTAGTTCATAGCTTCTTTTAACTTGTTACAATAAATTTAAAACATTAATTTAATGCGATGAGAATTTAACAAAAAAAAGGGAAAAAAGAAAACATCTATTTATAAATATTTAGATCAAAAGAAGTTCAAGAACTTACATAAGTCAAACATTTTTTATTGTAAAAGTCCAATTTCAGAAATGTAGGATCAAATACTCAATTCATTTAAGTAGAACTAAGCCGATTTAAAATTAATTGTTGATTTGCATTAAACTATAGTACATAACCAGTACCATTTATCAAATTTTATTAATTTTTATTGGACTTTTTAACTCTATATTTTAAATATTCAACTCGGACGTATTATATTTTAATTTTTAATTAAATCGGTGAGATTAACCGGATTCTCAAAATGCTAAATATTGATTGGGACTTTTGATCTCATTTTCATTTGGATTTGTTCAAGTAATTAAAGGCGGAATTATTATTTTGTATTTGGAATTTGTTGACACGTGGAAATTTTGGATAGAATCCAGTTCTGGCCTGTTTGTTTATTTTCCAATTTTGTCCCCTTTCTTTATGTAAAGCCGTGTTCTGGCCCAATGTAAATTTTTTTTTTTCCTTTTTTTCTGTTGTAGTTTTTCAAATATGAACACCAATAGTGGTAGGTTGAAGAATTAGATATAGCTAGAAACGAGTATATAACCCAACACCATGCGCCGTTTAATTATCAGAAATTGTATATTTATAAATATAATTTTAAAATTGTGTCACGATATAATAGAATATAACATTTTATAATAAAATTTATGTATAATACTTCATGTTTGTTGATTTTTTATATAATAATTTAACTACATTTTATAATAAAATTTATGTATAATACTTCATGTTTGTTGATTTTTTATATAATAATTTAACTTATAGACAATATTATGAATATTATATTGACATTATCATGTACATGTAATTATATAAGAAATCATAAACTTCTAATAGAGTTTTTTCAACCAAATAAGGTTAAAAATCCATATACATTCGTTTTTGTTTTAATTGGGCAATATTTCATTATAAATTTTTTAAAAATATAATTTTCTTGTCGACCTATAATAAGTTTAAAATATTTTTAAAAAATAAAGATAATAATTAATAAAATTATTTTCATCATTAATTTATTATTTAAATAATCATAATATCTCAAAGACAAGACAATTTATATTCATTATTAGTTGAAAAATAAATACATAAAATATTATAGACAATAAGAAACTTTTTTTTTTAATTTATACTAAGTAATATCTACATCTAAATCTATACTATATATAACAGTAAGAATGGGAGGGAATAATGAAATTTTCTATATCATCTTTAATGAAATTTAAAATGTTCTAAAATATCTGTAATAATGACCAATTAAAAAATTATAGTTTATTAATTGATTGAATATAATTTATAAAAAGTAATTTTAATCCAATTATATGCGGTTTGATTATCTTCTCATTTATGTGAATAGTGAAAGGTCTCGAGTTTGAGTCCTCTGGATCATAAGTATTTTCACCAATTTGATTATTGTGTAGCCTACAGTATTATTTTAGCCCATCAGGCTCCTAATGAATCAAAAAAATTATTTTTTAAATAAATACATATAAATAATTAAACATTTCAAAATTTTAAGTTTTATCTTTACTAAATTTATTTTTTATCTTTACTATTCTTGATTTTTTAATGAGATTATATGATAATGAGATATTTGAAATTTTTTATATTTTATTTATTAATATTTATTTTCTTTTTAGGACAATATTATAAAAAGAATAGAAATGAATATATACTGTTTTCTTTGTTGATATGAAGTTGGATTTTTTAAAATAAATAAATTTATTTCAAATATAATATCTTAAATATACTTTTAGGAGAGAGATTAAAAAAGAAAAAGGACTGTATATTATTTTTATTAATGTTTTTGTTCTTTTATGTCTTATAATGATTTGAATTGGGATTTGTCTATTTTTTAAAAGATGAGATTTTACAAATACGTATTTACATATTAGATCGTGTAATTGGGTTATAATTTGAAAAGTTTTTATTTTAAACAATTAATGTTTTATGTTTAAAAAAATAATGTTTTATTGATATATTTATATATCTATATACATTGAAAGTTTTTTGTTAGGTGAATTACCAATTTGATTGTTGTGTAGCCCGCAGTATTATTTCAGCTTATCAGTCCTCCTAATGGATAAAAATATAATTTTTAAATAAATACATATAAATATATAATTAAGCATTTCAAAATTTTAAGTCTTATATTTCCTAAATTTATTTTTAATGAATATATATGATATTGAGACCTTCGAAAATTCTATATTTTATTTATTAAATATTTAATTCCTTAGGAAATAGATAAGAAAAGAAAGAAAATTTATATTTTTTATTAATATTTTTTTCCTTTATGTTTGTATGATATGATTGGATATGTCTTTTAAAAAATAAATTTTCAAATAGAATATATATAATATTTTATTTAGGAGTGAGAGAATAAAATAAAAAAGAGGAAAGTATATATTTTTATTAGTATTTTTGTTCTTTCTAAGATTTGTCATATTTGATTGCATATATTTGATACAAGTAAATTTCAATGAACTTACATTAATTATAATATGGATGGCTAAACAATTAAAATTTTTTAATTTAAAACGAATATAATATTTTTATTGACATATTTATATATCTATTTAATATTCAACATTTTTTTTCCATATATAAATCATTAATGAGAGATACGCATTATGACATTTATTGGAATTAATTCAGATTGCAAAAATAAAAAATTATGAAAACAAATTCCAATTTACAGGACAGAAAATTAATTTTCCATAATAATTTTTTTATATAAAATCAATGGTACATCACATTTTTAATATTTATAGAATTCATAAGCTTTAAATATTTCAATTAATTATGCATCAAAAAATGCTATGGAAACTCATATTAAGTATTATTCAATTAATTAAAAATTTAAATATATCAACTTTAAGTTATAAGCAAATGTATATTAAAGTATAAAAAGTTAAGTGAGAGATTAATATTGGAACAAGAAATATAATTAATTATATAAATGATCTATAATGGATTACCAAGATCTATTATCCGGCAGGAAATTTAATCAGAGAAAGAAACTAGGAATTAAACAACTGTATACGAATTTTTGTTAAAAAAAAATTATAAGGAATTGTTAATCGTAATTTGTTATTTATCTTTAAATATTACTAGTCTCTAAATATCTATTTTTATTGCCTCTTTACTTGATAACCTTAAATTATATTTAGATAACTGTTTAGAATAGGCTCTTAACAATTATGTACACAGAACCTTGTTACTGAAAGCGCTTGCAAATACTTAATTTAGGAGTCTTGGCATCTCTTTTACCAATAACTGATTACCGCCAAATATGCCAAATTACTTGTCCACTGTAATAACTTTTTTCACGCTATATATTAATGTACAACTATGCCAAATTACTGTTACTGTAATAACTTTTCACGCTATAATTAATGATATTAGTATTCTAAGGGCAGAAATGTGAAAACACTATACTTTCAGATGGCGGCTGTATTTATTTCTGCAAACAAGATGTCGTTGGCTTATCCGGTTGTTTGTCTTTTTTTTTCAATAATTCAATCAACAAACAAGCATTCTTGTTTTGTAGCCAATAAAGGAACCAATGACAAGTCCTGATCAGCATTTAATGGTAGATTGAGTAATCTTTAATTAACTTTTATTTTAAAAAATAATATATTCTAAAACACTTAAATTTAACTTAAAAATTAAGTTAAAAAATTCAACTGAGTAATTCAATTTAATCCATTTAATTTTATAAAATATTGAATTTTTTAATATAGAAAATCATTTTATTAGATTTATTATTAATTTAATTTAATTTTGATTGAATAAACCAAATGTTGACCCTTTACTTACAATTCCGGCCCATTCTTTTCATGTGAAGTCGTGTTTTTCAGCAACATAATCATGTTGGGCTTTAATTATAGTGCGATGTGATAATCACAGTGCTGAGATTTCGATGCGGTGAAATACATAATTTAATCCCTAAATTAACTAAAAAAAGTAATATTATCTATGAATTCTGAACTCTGAGATTTTTGATAACATTTTAAATTTTATTCTTTTTAATATGTCATGTCTCCTCACATTAAAAATAATAATATTTAAAATTTTTACTTTTTATATATAAAACATTGATTCTTTTGAAATAATAATTTTTAAATTGTTAACTATTTAATACATATTTTAATCAATATAATTCATGAATTAATTAAAATATTTAATGGATTAAATAAAATATTTAATAGATTTAATTTCTATAAAAAAAGAGTAAATAAAAGAATCTAACTAATAATTTAGTAAATGAGTAGACTGACAGCCATGTACAAAAAAAATTAAGCATTTTCCATTAATTTTTTAATTGATGTGACAAGTATTTATTATGAAAAAGAAATAGTAATAAATACAAAAATTTATTATTGTACTTTTTATAAAAAGTTTTGTGGCACTTCAAAATTCGATGACATTTCACAGTAATTTTAATGGTTTTTAAATTTTATATTTAAAATATTAAATGAATGTTTTTAATTTTGCATAATTTTCGGAATAATAATTTTTTATATTTTTTATTATTTAAAATATTTTTAATCCATTTAATTATATAAATTAAATTATTTAATAAAATGATTTTATAAATCTCAGTATTTATTATTTATAAATTTATAAGTTGAATTGAATTGTTTAATTGAGATTAATTGTAAATTTATAAATTTGGCCCAATAAAATATTTTCCGTTGCATGTGAACCTTGCCCCACCAAGTGCAAACATATCGGTGGTCTCTATAAATTATTAAAATTGTGTTTCCAGATTGGAGAGAATCGAAGCCAACGACACTTAGCTAAATGGCTCCCACTTAAAATCTGAGACTCAAAAGAGGACCTGCCCTGCCCATATTGAATTTAGAATTTAAAAAACAAAAATTAGAAAATTTCATTAAAAGAAATCATAATACAAATATGAAATACATGTGTTATCCCGTAAGTTTCTATATTTTCACACAATGGATGTAATTATAAACCATTTATAAAAATAATAAAAAATTTTAACTTGAATTTAGGGTTTCAATTGATTTGACATTGTATATGTGTCATTCTGTAAAACACGGTCTATTTGATGACAATTTATAATTTTTATTCGACTTTATAGTCTTTCAACAAGTTAAATTTAATAAACTTCAAAATTTTCCACCTACTTCAAAAGAAATCTGCATCTCAATTTACATTACCGTCTAAATAATAAAGTAACGCAGGTAAAACCACTATGAAAGTGGCTAACAACCACAAAAAAGATCAATTAAAATTCAAAATAAATAAATCTAAGAATATAATCCAAAACATATTAAAACAAATAGATTTAATATATTTACTCAAAATCTATATCAAAGATTATATATTTGAGAATTATTCAAGAAAACACAGAAATAAAACAAAAATAAAACTAATAAAAAATAATTAGAGGTATAGGCACCGACAGCCGCCCAAAAGAGGCGAAAAAGAATTTTGGGAGTTAATTTAATTTTATACTCCATTCATCCAATAAAATTATATCAGCTTAATTTTAGTATTTTTACGCTTATTAATTAAAAAAAATTAATATTACTAAGACATAGTTTTTGCTTAAAATACCTTTATATTAACATTAAATATTCTATGTAATCCATTAAAATTAATTAATTCATATTAATTATTTTTAAAATTAATCTAAATATTTTTTTGATGTAAGGATCAAAGAGCAAAGTTATTGAATTGGCTATCATATGGTTGATATAGGTGGCGACAATAATGATTTATTTTATATGATTACTGGTAATATTAATATATTTGTTGAAACAATAATATATAATAGCTTTCTGCCAACAAGATGTCAGACAGTCCAATAATTTTCTGATATGCACAAAGCTTTAATTAATGGTAAATTCATGGCTAAAATCATGGATTACTTTAATTAATTCTTTCAATTTATTATTTTCATTATTATTATTTAATGGTAAATTGTGTAATCATAATCAATTTTTATCTTATATTTTATTAAGTTGATTTTCTTTTCGTAGTTCCATCAAAGACAGATAAACATGTAATTAAGGGATAAAAAGTAATTGTTATAATTTAATTTTCTTTTATTAACCTAATTCGTAAAGATTAAAATATTACCACTAAAATTAATATTAAGGTCATGCATGCATATGATTAATTAATCTTTAACCATATTTACCACTAAAATTAATATTAAGTCATGCATGAGGCATATGATTATTATCTTTAACCATTTTAATTAAAAAAAATCAAAGGAAAGAAAGAAAGAAGGAACATATGAAAATTTGCTTTTACTTCGTAACTCAAGTTCTCTTAAATCACATCGTTTATTTAAAAAATGGAAATTGTAATATCAAAAAAACCAATCCCAGACCTTAATTCTTAAAACATAAGAACACTAATTTGGATAAGACAGCAACAGATTTACATTCCACAAAGCTAACACACAAAATAATACTAATAACCTATAAAATAGCGATCAGAAATCACTAAAATTTATCTTTTAGTTTATTTGGTCAAGTCGCTTTGCCATATCGGGTGTTAAATAATTTTCCCAGTCACCAATCTTGCCCTTTCTAAAGAATGCATTATTTTCAACTTTAAGAAGAATTTCATTGCTAATCTTGTTACTCTTGTTCACCTGCAAATTGCTCAAGCTTTCAAAACTACAAAAATTAACTATTTTTTGTACTATACCTTGTCTTTCTTCTTCTACAGAGAAAGGGCACCCCATGAACTCTGCTATTCTCTTCACATAGAACAACGTATTCTGCTATTCTCTTCACATAGAACAACGTATTATTCTGTAAATCTTCATATTTTAAAAACAATATTTTCTCAGGATCTTCCAAGCTTGCTTTCCAATATCCTAAAATATTGTCCCAAAAAGGTCCATAACCAGAAAACCCAGTACAAAACTTATCAAATGCCTCTTCCCATGACATAACATCAGTATCCAAGTGCTTACTGATGAAGTGCCATAGCGAGACAAACACATCTTTAGGATCTCTACACATATAAATTATTTTACATGTAGGGCACTTCACAATTGATTTAGGCAAGGAAGCATAAGGAACATGAGTAGACAACAATGGATTTTGAGAGTCTCTTTGACGACCCTTACAGTATAAAAACTCTATAAGAGGCACAATATCATGTGGCATATTTGTGAGTAATGGGTTTATCGAAGAACCATCAGAATGTTGGCTTCTTCTGAAAATTGTAAAGCATAGTGCCTTAAGCCAAGTTGTGCCAGATTTTGGAAGAGTACAAATGATAATATCAGTAGGTTGAGGTATAAATCAGTAGGTTGAGGTATAAAATATTTTTGAGCTAGAATTATACCTTCAAGGAAATTTGGGTAGCACCAAAAGTCTTGGTATTTGTGTAAATTTTGAGAAAGTTGCCAACTAGTTTCTTTGGGAAGGTCTGAGATGATCTGTTGACATTCAATTGAGGCTTTTGAAAGCTCTTCCAAATTTGAAACATTAATAGCTTTCAAAGGTGACGAAGGCTCCATGGAAGAAGTATAATATTTAGATAGGTGATAGAGATATATATATTATTGGGGTGTATCAAATAATGCATACCAATAAACTTCTAATAGAGTTTTTTCAACCAAATAAGGTTAAAAATCCATATACGTTCGTTTTTGTCTTAATTGGGCAATATTTCATTATAAATTTTTTTAAAATATAATTTTCTTATCAACCTGTTGATTCGGTTTTAGTTTTAATAAAAAAATCATTTTTTTTATTTCAATCGGATTTTTATTAGACAATTTGAAAATTTTAAAAATTTTAAGAACCAAATTAATTTAGCTAAAAAATTATGTTAAATAAATTTAACTGAATTATTGAATTCAGTTCGGTTTAAATTTATAAATAGTTCAATTTTCATGATATAAAAATTCAATTTATTAGATTTATTACTAATTTAATTTGATTTAACAAACCAAATGTTGATACTTTACAAACAATTTTAAGTTTTTGTTATTGAAATGTGACCGAAGACATCACACAGTTTGTGTGCTCAATTGATTTAGATGGAGCATGTAAATTCAACTTTCATTTTAAGTTTTTGTTATTGAAATGTGACCGAAGACATCACACAGTTTGTGTGCTCAATTGATTTAGATGGAGCATGTAAATTCAACTTTCAATTTATAAATTTTAGTAAGATCGCACAATTTTCCACATTAACAATAATAATTTTATGATTTTTAATTTTTATTTGTGGAATATCGATTGGATATATATTTAGTATAATTTTTTTGAATTTTAATTATTTAATAGGTGTTTAATTAATTTAATTTTATAAGTTAAATTATTTAACAAATCATTTTGAAAATTGAAATGTTTAATAATTTTTTATAGAAGGGGCCACCGACAGTACTTTGAAAAGTTAAAAAAGATCAAATAATAGAATATGAATGGCTATTTTGGTTTTTAGTAGCTTATAAATCACTAGTAATAACAAGAATTCAAGAAAGATGGAGTTCTATTTTCAGAAAGACACTTTAATATTTCTGTATACTACATATAGGTATAGATATCCATGACTTTATATAAATTTTAGCAATGTTTTGAGAAAGTGCAATTGTAAATTTACAGATTTGTCCCACTCAAATCTTATCCCTTGCATGCGAATCTTTATCTTCACCCATAAATTCTTATCCCTCGCATGTATATTAAAAAAAAAATTTATATTAAAGCGCCATTTGTTTCTCTAAAATAATTTAGAGGAAAAGAATCTAAAATATCTTTAATGAGAAAAAGAAAATTATTCTAAGAAGATAAAAAAATAATAAATATGGGACCTATACCAATTAGCTAACCCAACATGGTGTGTTTTAATCATGCTGGGCTTTATTATGGTGTGTTGTTGTAATCATAATCATGCTGGGCTTTAATTATGGTATGTTATCGTAATCATAGTGCTAATGTTTTAATTTGACGGATATATAATTTAATCACTGAAACTTTAAAAAAATAATATTATGATACTCTAAACTCTGAAATAGTTTGTTGGCATCTTAAATTCAATTTTTTTATAAGAATTCGCAACTCTTTACATTAAAAACAGTAATATATAAGCTTTTTAATTTTTATACATCAAATATTGGTTTTTTTTTATGTGGTTTATACAATTATTGAAATAATATTTAGATTTTTTAACTTTTCAATTAGTGTTTTCATCAATTTATTTTTACAGTGTTCAACAGATCAAATAAAATATTTAACAGATCTAATTTTTACAGAAAAAAGAAGGCAATAAAAAAGATTGTTCTTTTGAATAGAATCTAACTATTGATTTGGTAATAAATGGTGCTTATAAAACCTTGTAATTGCTT